CCTTAAACATAAACCCACTAATCTCAGACATCCAAAAATGGTGCAATTACTCTGGAGCCAGTCTCTCCATTCCAAAATCAAAACATCTACACATCTGTCGAAAAAAAATGAAACTTTAGAATACTTAGCGATCTCAACTTAAAAAATGAAAAATCATTAAAAATACTAGGCATTACTATAACTAATAAATATAAATGGGATGCACACATAGAACAATTAGTAATACAATTAGCTAAAAGGCTAAACATTATTAAATGTCTCTGCAGTACTAGTTTTAACTGCCACATGAAAACCATTCTTTATGTAATAAACTCAATAATCATGTCAAAAATTGACTATGGGTTATTCCTATACGGCGGCTCTTCGCATGAGAGAAACAAACCAGTGGTCAGAAGAATGCTTTGGCCATGCCAAAATTCTGAGGGGAAATGACAATATCCCATTAGTCACTGACCACTGCATCGCAGAGGAGTATCCACATACTCCTTTCCACACCATCATTCCCTCTAGGGAAGATTGGAACTTCGGCCCGCCAGGCCCAACCAATTCCATCAAAATATATACAGACGGTTCTAAGCTGGACAACCGCGTAGGCGGGGGTGTCTTCTGCGAAGAACTCGGAATCAGAAAAGCCTTCAGGCTACCGGATCACTGCAGTGTGTTCCAGGCGGAAGTAATAGCCATTCAAGAAGCTCTTCTTATACTGCCAAGCCCAGCCACACATACCAGAGAAATCTGCATTTACTCGGATAGCCAAGCGGCTATAAAATCCCTTAACGCCATCACGTCGAACTCGACGTCAGTACAGAACTGTCGCAAATCTCTTCACGAGATGGCAACACAGCTCTCTATATACCTCATTTGGGTCCCAGGCCATAGGGATATCGAGGGAAACTGCATAGCCGATGAGCTGGCAAGACACGGTACTACCGCCTCCCTCCTTCCAGACAAGGAGAGCGTCGGTACACCGATGGCCAGCTGTAAACTGTCAGTCCGAAACCACTTTGACTTGGTCGCCAATCAAATGTGGACCACCGACACAGACTCCTGTAAAATCACACGCCAAACATGGCCAACCCTCAACAAGAGAAGATCTTCTGAACTCTGCAAACTGAGCAGAAGCCAATGCTCAGTCGTAATCAGAGCCATCACAGGGCACTGGCTGGTGGGCACCCATGCCGCCAGACTAGGACTCCACCATAACGATTTCTGCAGAAGCTGCAGAGACGTGGAAGAGGAGGAAACGGTAACACACCTCTTCTGCGACTGCCCGGCCTTGTCAAGAACAAGACAACGATTCCTAGGAGACAGTCTCCTACCAAATCTATCGGCACTAGCAAACAAGAAGCCGATAGACATCTTCAAGTTCATCCAGGCAGCTGGATGGACGTAATACTCGCGCAGACACGCAGCCAAACACGGGTATTTTGGGAAGTGGACTTGTCCATGCGGTATCACAACGGGCCAATCTCCAAGGCCTAAGTGAGTCGGGGTGCATACCCTGGCTGCCGCTCCGACCTACCTACCTATTCCTATACGGAAGAGCTCCCAAATCAAAAATTAACAAATTAAAAACCATATACCACTCAGCTGTTAGAATGGCCCTCGGTGCCTTTCGCTCCTCACCAATAAACAATCTAATATACGAATCTAATATTAGGCCAATAGAACACAGAACCCAACACGCTATATTAAAAAACTTTAAAATTATATCCCCAGCAAAAAAAACTCCACTAGAACACATTTGTAAAAAAATTTCGAAAGCGAAGCGGGTCCCAAAATTGTCATCAACAATAAAGGATACCATTGAAAACTGTAAAATGATACTGCTACAGCCTGTACCCATAATAAATAAAAAAGAAACCACCCCACCGTGGTCATTTAACTTTTCTAGGATAAATAAATCCCTTCACACCTCATCAAAACCCAACACACCACCGATTGTTTACTCCCAACTCTTCCTAGAAATTAAAGATACCCTCAAACAACACACGTTCCTATATACAGACGGCTCAAAGTCCGATACCGGAGTAGCCTACAGTGTAACCTCCACAGAACACATCATAACCCAGCAGATACTCCCATCATATTCCTCCATTTTCACTGCTGAAATAGCAGCAATTCTTTACGCATGCAGATATGCGGAAAAACAAAAAGGAAAATTTGCCGTATGCACCGACTCACTCTCAGCTCTTACAGCCTTAGAAAACTTAAACAACTATAACTACTACACATTAGAAATTAGAAAAATCATTTTAAAATACAAACACAAATTCACTCTGATATGGGTCCCAGGACACTGCGGCATTATTGGAAACGAACTTGCAGACCAAGCAGCTAAGCAAGCACTCACATTACCATTAATATTAGAAAGAAACCTCAACATATCAGATACACTTAAATACATCAGTAAACACATGAAAACCCAATACGATAGTATCTGGAACAACACATCTCCACATTACAAACTTATTAACTCAAAAAAGCAGAACCATATTGTATCTCTAAACACAACAATCTCTCGAATGGACACCATTAAATTTATGAGACTTCGAATCGGGCACACTAAACTAACACACAGCCACCTATTTGACAAAACACCCCATCCTACATGCCAACAATGCAATCATAACCTAACACTATGCCACATATTCCTAGAATGTCCTCTTTATGTTGAGCACAGACTGAAATTCCTCCAAAAAACCCTAGAAGAAATAGTAGATCCCAAAAACATAGTCACAACAATCCAATTTCTTAAATCCATAAACCTTTACAATAGCATATAAGTAGAAACTTAATTAGTAACTAGAATCAGTAGACCTATATATTTGTATACTCGTTGCCTTGCATATACAATAGCTAATAAGTATCACCTATTTAAGTCATAATATCAAATGTTAAATCAATATTGTTACTTATTACAACAAAGAATGTAAGCAGAAGGCCATCGCAGCTATTGCTTAACACAAACCATAAATTGTCCGCACTTTGTAAGTGCTGGCAATTTCTATATAAAAAAAAAATTAAAATATCCGCAAAAAAACAAATTTCATTTAAAAGAAACACGTGGTAAAATAAAAACAAGTAAAAAAGCTAAAGTCGGGTGTCCCGACTTTGAAATACTCTGTACATATGTTCACAATAATTATAGATCGATTAATTTGATCGATTTTACGTTTCTCAGTATTCGAACTCACGTAAAGGGTGTATACGGCATACGGACACATAATAACTAACTGGGGGTATTTGCAAAATTTAAGTTCGAAATTCCAAGAATTACGGGAGTTAGAAAAAATCGCAATTTGCATGGGAGAGGGGGGAGGGAGGGAAATTCCAAAATATACATTTTCTGCGTATTCACACAGGGCATCTTGGACTAATTTGGTGTTCCTAGGTCTTATAGTCTCCGAGATATAGGCGATTATACGAATTGAAAATCGGGAAAACCCCCATAGGGGGGGGGGGGGGGGGGAAATCAAAAAAAAATAAAACAAACTCGTATAGAATACACACATAAGGCATCTTTGTGCAAAATTTGGTGTCTCTATCTCTTATAGTCTCTGAGATCCAGGTGTTCATACGGACGGACAGACGGACGGACAGACAGACAGGGCTAGATCGACTCGTCTCGTCATGCTGATCAAGAATATATATACTTTGTGTGGTCGGCCACGCCTGCTTCTGCCTGTTACATTTTTCAAACCCCGCAAACCTAATATACTTCTGTACATTTCATGTACAGAGTATAAAAAGCATATTACCATAAATACATATTAAATTAAATCGAAAACAAGAAAATAACCCCTTTTAAGGTAACTATTAGATATCAAGTGAGAATAGTAACTTAATGGATCTTCTTGTGTTAGGGTCCATCCATCCATCTATCCATATATCCAACCATCTATACATTCTCTTTTCCGTCGGCCTATTTCTGTGTCAAGGCAATGAAAATATTTTCCTTTATGTGATACCATATTTATGCACATATGTATATAAATTACTCGTGGCAATTTGGAGGTATAACCTATATTGGATACAACACGAGGGGAATTTGAGCTTTTACCATTGTATATACCCTGTACCCAGGGAAACTTCCGTCACTGAGTTATATGCGCCCAAAGCAGCAGCAGGAAATTAAAAAAAAAAATAAACTCGTCCTTTCTCGGACCTACGAGAATCTGGATGCCAACTTTGGTTATTCTAGCTTTTATAGTTTCTGAGATCCTTGCGTTCATTCAGACGGACAGACGGACGGACGGACGGACATGTCTAGATCGATTTCTCTCGTCATGCTGATTCAGAATATATATACTTTATGGGGTCGGAGATGCTTCCTTCTGCATGTTACATACTTTGCACAAACCTAATATACCCTTTTTACCGTACGGGTACAGGGTATAAAAATATGGAGTTGCAAGCCTAACAAATTAAAAATGGAAATAAAGAAATTATAAAGAAATAATTATGTTATAAGTTTATAAAATCGATTGCTCATTAATATCGCAGCTGTAAGAATTGTTAATATGAATGTTATTAATGCTTATAATTAATTAAATTAAAATTTGTATAATTAGCCTTCAAATGACTTCTGCTTTGATAAAGATTGAAATGATAATGGTTGAATTAAAGTTCTAAAAATGAACACTGAGTAAGGTCTTATAAAAAGGGGGTATCATAAAACAAGTATGCATTGAAAATGAATTTACATATGGGTTATTGCAGGAATATGTAGAAATATGTGATAACAAGGTAGGGCGGGTATACAAGGAGAAACATCCTCCTATAATTACCCTTCAAATGACTTCTGTTTTGATAAAGCTTGAATTATTGCGGTTTTCTTGGCGCACAAAAGGAAACCGCGTCAACTATAGTATAGTAAATAAACTTATAAGAGAAGAGAGGCAAGACCTGCTAGTCTTGTATAATGAAATAAATTATTCTAATATGTTAATATGGTGTTGTGTTACAATTTAAAAATATTTAAACTAAATGTATGTTACCTCTCTCGCGAACACTCCTCGTAATCGACTTTGTATTAAAATTGCACTTCGCCGCAATCTTAAAAAATGAATCCGTAATTTCCATCCCCTGTATGCATGTTGAATTTGCAAAGCTGCATTCCAAGTTCGGCGATAAATTTTTAAGCAAATAAATCCTCTCCAGTTTTTTTGTATTACAATAGCATTTTCATGAGTGATTTCTTTCCTCAAGTGTTCCAAAGGTGCATAAGCTCGAGCTCGTAAAAAAATTTTTGAAACCCCTATTTGCCATTCCGTTGGCAAAACTTTTAATTCGCTTAAAATATGAACTATGTCATTTCGTGTTAATGTGGATGATTTTTTTTTTAATAAGCATTTATATTTTGAAAAGAATTCCTCGTAAGAAAAATGAATAGGAAAACCTTCTCGTCGTATCCTTATTATATCTAGCATTCCAAGATACTTCAGTTGATCAAGAACAAAAGTATCATTGTAATTATTTGGCGATTTAAGTCCATTTGGCTTTATACAACGAACATACCTAAAAAAAAAAGTTAAGTATAAAATATATGAATAATTTGTAACATAACATTCAGTTATGTTAAATCAGTTGGAGGAAAATTTGGAAGTACAAATTTCACCTTTTTTCTTCTTTTGACTTGTGCTAGGGGCGTATGAAGCTCAGTACAGGAAGTTTAGGCGTCGGGCTTGCTCGACCGTAGCCTTCTTTCTTGTTTTATAATTGACAAAAGTAACATTTTTTTGCAGTATAGAGACTCTTTAAGGTGGAAGTCATAATTGATTTAATATAGCCGATTGGTTTGAATTTGAGTAATATAGATTTTATGGATTGGATTATTATTTTGTTTATTTCGTCAAGGTGTCAGTCTATATCATGGTTATCTGTTGTTTGCTGTGCTTGGTTGGGATGACATAAGACTACAAATTTTATTTTAAAACTTCCTCCAGTCTGCTTATACCCTGTACATGAAATGTACAAGAGTATATTAGGTAACAGGCAAAAGGATGCGTGGCAGACCCCACAAAGTATATATATTCTTGATCAGCATGACAAGACTAGTCGATCTAGCCCTGTCCGTCTGTCAGTCTGTCCGTCCGTTTGTCCGTCCTAGATCTCAGAGACTATAAGAGCTAGAGACACCAAATTTTGCACAAAGATGGCTTATGTGTGTACGCTGTGCAAGTTTGTTTTATTTTGTTTGATTTTCCCCCCACTTTCCCTCTATTAGGCCAATGAGACCTAGGGACACCAAAATTATGATTGACCGATTTAACAAGAAGTTATAGCCATATATATATTTGCTGCCCAAGCGCTGCGAGCAGCTGTTGTTGACGTTGCTGTTTCGTTGACTGCAAACATGCTTACACAGATACGAATAGACACGCATAGACATGCATACACTCACATAGACACAATTCCAATGTAAATATGCATTCACACACCCGAATACCAAGGGAGGTAAAATCGGACGAATTTTTTTTTATTTTTCTTAATTTTTATAGCCTGTACCCAAAGGTTAAAAGGCTATATTAGTTTTGTGTGAATGTATGTAACACACAGAAGGAGGCGTGGCATACCCCCGTCCAAAGTATTTATGTTATTGATCAGGATGACAAGACTAGTCGATATAGCCACGTCCGTCCGTCCGTCCATCTGTCTGTATGAGCGCAACGATCTCAGCAACTACAATAGCTAGGATAACCAAACTTGAAATTCAGGTTCCCCTAAGCCCTGGGCAGATCGAGTTTTTGTTTTTATTCTGATTCCTCCCCCCACTCCCCCGCAATTCGTGTTTTTCCTATAATTCCCGTAACTCCCGTATTTCTTTGTACTCAAATTTGGCAAATACACCCATATAGTAATTATGTGTCTGTGTGCCAAGTTTCATTAGAATAGGTTAATTATGAAGAAAGTTATAGCCATAAGCATAATCTCCGCCCAAGCTCTGCCGGCAGGGGTTGCTGCTTTGACTTATTATACTCTGTACATAAAAAGTACAAGAGTATATTAGGTTTGCGGGCGGCGTGGAGGCGTGGCAGACCCCACAAAGTATATATATTCTTGATCAGCATGACGAGACGAGCGGATCTAGCCCTGTCTGTCTGTCTGTTTGTCCGTCTGTCAGTCTATCCGTCTGTCCGTATGAACACCTGGATCTGAGAGACTATAAGAGGTAGAGACACCAAACTTTGCACAAAGATGCCTTATGTGTGTACGCTGTGCAAATTTGTTTTATTTTTTTGAATTTCTCCCCACTTCCCCCCTATGGGGGGTTTCCCGATTTACCATTCGTATAATCGCCTATATCTCGGAGACTATAATACCTAGAGACACCAAGATGCCTTAAGTGAATACGCAGAAAATGTGTATTTTGGGATTTCCCTCCCTCCCCCCTCTCATCCGCAAATCGTAGCTCCCGTAATTCTTGGACTTTCGAACTCAAACTTGGCAAATACCTCCATTTAGTTATTATAAGTCCAAATGCCAAGTTTCATCAAGATAGGCCGATTTAACAGGAAGTTATAGCCATATATGTACATAAGGCCAAATAGTGCTCGCAGATGTTGTTGTTGTTACTGCTTTGCTCAGGCACAGGAGACATACACAGACACATACAAACACACACATACACGTATAATTATTCTACACATATGTATAGAGTATTTCAAAGTCGGGATACCCGACTTTAGCTTCTCTACTAGTTTCTTTCACGTACTGCTCAAAAATGTTCAACGTAAACGCACAGCCACGATCAGTGATAATTCGATTCCAAACATGCTAACCTAAAGCTCCAATCTTTTTAAAGTTTCTTCGTCATTGGTTGCCTTTGCGGGAAAAACCCCAACGAATTTACGGCGTGCACAGTTTTTTGTACTGCGAAATGACCGGCGTTGTGGGCTTCTGTAATGACTTCCGTTTCCAATGCTTTTGAAATAACTAAAAGATCGTTGCCGAGTACCACCTTGTAAATCAATCCGCCTCTCGCCTTGAAGTCCTCGTATGGCCGATTTTTGAGGATCTCTGCAACTGCTTTAATCATTGCGTCGTTTTCCTGTGCTCTTTTGATTCGTGCTGTTATTTCCATAGTCACAATCATTACACGCTGCGGATAACGGCTTAGGCAATCGACATGTTTTAGCCTCTAACCGGGTCGATGATCTACCTCGAAATCAAAATCATGCAGGTAAATTACCCATTGGACTACATCGCGCGGGACATCTTTCTTCTGCAGCGTCTGTTTAAATGCAGTACAGTCGGTTATCAGGAGAAATTTTGTTCCCAACAAGTAGTGGCGAAACTTCTTTAACGCAAGATAAATGGCTTTTGCTTCTGATATGTAACTATGATCAGCAGCCTCAGCTTCAGTTGACTTTTTAATCCAGAAGTAGACTGGCTAAGGTTTGTCATTGAACCACTGCACTAAGACTGCACCAAATCCTTCTTTCGGTGCATCTGTGTGAACTTCAGTTCTAGCATTTCGATCATACAGTCTCAAAATAGGTTCCTGTTCCTCCATACGGAATATAGCATCTTTACGCAGCAGATTAGTTAAAAGCATAGCAATTTTGGCATACCCTTTAATAAACATTCTAAAAAATCCGGTAAGTCCCAAAAACGACTGCACTGCTTTTATATTTTTCGGTTCGGCGAATCTGCTGACTGCATTCGTCTTCTCTTCCCCTGGCCACACGTATTCATCCTTAATAAAATTACCCAAGAAATGTACAGTACTTTGCAGAAAATTACAAGTGGAAACACTTTATTCGAAGGCCATAAGCAGCGGCTGTTGTAAAGACCACCTTCATCTTTTCCAAACATTCGACGACTGTTACTGCATGAATTATGATGTCATCCAAATATAAGTCTAATACATCAGCGCTTAAAAGGTTTTCAAATACGCATCTGAAGTAGCGCATAAATGCAGCCGGCGAGTTGCAGAATACAAAATGTGCACTCGTAAAGGCCATTCTTGGTCACAAAAGCTGTTTATTTCTTGCTGGTTTTGACGATGGGCACATGGAAAAACCCATTTTCTAAATCCATGACGGTGAACAATTTAGAATTATGCAGCTTTTGCAGCACGTCATCAATTATCGGTACAGGAAAACAATCCTTCAATACCATTTAATTCAGCTTTCGGAAATCGACGCATATACGATGAGAACCATCTTTCTGCCGAATAATGCCTGCGTCAAGCCATTCACTTATTTGCTTGTTGACTACTTCATCCTCAGTGATAGACAGACGACTGGGCGACTGGCGAAACGGAGCAATTTCTCAACCGGATACAATGTGCAGCATAACTGGAACCTCTTCAACAGACTGACTCGGCCTATAATTGTTGATCATCGAGCGCACGATATTTTCATACTGCAACGGTACATCTATATCAGAATCTGTATACGCCAAATTATGTATACTTATCTGATTAATGTTGTCACAAGCTTCCTCCCCCAACAGGGAAAAAAACTTGTATCCATCGGCCGATGACGTAAAGTTTAATTGGCTAGTAAAGTCGTAGCTCAGCAAAGCATCATATTCCACATCTCGATCAGCAACAACCACGAATTTGTGAGATATCTTCTCCTCATCGACCGCAACTTCTGCTTCAAAACTGCCAACAGGATGAGTAATATTGTTGCCCAAGCCACGCAGGTTTGAAAAGCAACTACGCAACCGAACACTGTGAATCTGGTTGTAAACACACTTCCTCATAATTGAGACATCTGCCCCTGTGTCGGCTAGGCAGTTCACTTTGATGTTGTTCACCTGTACCACTTAAAAACGCTTTTCATCACGCACGACGTGCACGGCAGCTGCTGGACAATTTTTGGTCATGTGTCCACTCTGGTTACAGCGGAAAGACTTTGTAGCGGCTTGGCATTTCTTTCGCAAATGATCGGTGGATCCACAGTTGAAGCAATGATTCTTCTTTTCGCTACTGTCTGGATCTACATTTCGGTTTGGCTGGAATGGTTTCTTGCCAACTTTATCAAGTACGCGATCATACACTTCATACTGCTCCTGCAGCTCTCTATACGTTTTTCAACTGTATAAAATATACTTAAAGTGACTCTTCATTTGCAGCCCATCAACACAAACATACTGACACACAAAACGCAATAACTTCACTTCCAATCGATGAAATGTCATGAAATTCTCACTGGACAATCGATAAAGATAGCAGATTCTAACGCACCAGTCGACATATAGATAGCGCTACCAGGGGGCGCTACTACTTTGATAGAATTTAATACATGATTTGTATGTACTTTGTGCTTAATTGTATCTTGAATTAATATTGCAGTGCCCCTTCCTCTACTAGCGTTGATTCTATCTTTGCGAATAATAATATATAGTTATTAACGTATAACATGAATAATTTGAATCCAAGAAAAACCAAGTGGGGGTATTATCGGAGACTGCTAATCAAGAAACTACCCAGTAAAAAATTTCTAGCCATACAAATCTCCCGGGCCGGGCGGCATAATCCCAGCCCAACTCCAACATTCTTTGTG